ATGTCAGAGAGACATATCACTAGTTGCCCCACACACAACCCCAACTGGGGCCTGGGATAAACTGCAACCGAGGTACATGTCCTTAGCGGGAACCGAACCCTGGTCTCTCTGGTCCGTGGGCTGACACTGCTGAGCCAAACCGGCCAGAGCAATTTTCTCATCTTTAAAATGAGGGGGTTGGACTAGATGATCTCCATTCATCCTGCCTCTGACCACCTCTATGACTTCACCCCTTTCCTTTTGGGTCTGGCTCACTCCACAGAGCACATCAGGGACAGGTTAGAGAATTAGGATTCTTTAGGGAAACAAGTCATACCCCAACCTGCTGAGCCAGTGCTTGGGAGAGACATGTAGAAAGAATATACAGGGACAAGCCCGAGATTTCACACTCTGTTACACACACACACCAAAAAGAGAAATAAAATAATAAAATAAAATGGATAATGCACATGTCCTTTTATATGGTATCATCTTTCAGAGAGAAATATTAGGGGGAAAGACAATTTTCTATAATGTGAATGCTTTTCTAACAGATGTGATTTTGAGAAGGAGGCAAATTATCATCATTGTTACCAGGTGACAAAACACTGAAAAAAAACACAGATGTGGTTTTGGTTTTGTTTGTTGTTGGGGATTCTTTTTTGTTTATTTTTGGGGTGGGGATCGGGGAGTGTTTACGGAAGGGAAAGAGACAGAGTAAACAACACGTATGGAATTGTTACAGCTCCACAGCATTTCACACAGTTTTATGGCCAAACACACAGACTCGTGTTCTCTTCCCTCCTTCAAGTTCTTCATGGTATTAACTCTAGAAAAAGGCTCTCTTTGCCTCAGAGTTACTTTACTAACATCACCTTACAAATAGGGCATAAATAAGACCTCCATCAGAGATGCCACCTCCAAAAGATTTACAGCACCAGTACGTTTCCACAGTTTGCACGGTGGGCCAGTTCTCCAGGAGAGAAACCACAATCGGCTGCTTCCAGCGCTGAGCTAGGCTGCTCCAGAGCTACACAGTGACCACTTCAGAGCCTGGCTGTTCCCAGGCACCAACCGCCGGGGACTAGGATGATGGAGGAGAACGCTGATGGAGACTGCTAGCTGCCCCTCAATAATCACGTTTCCTTTGTTAGTAAAATAAGACTCTTTTTTTTATTTAAGGCGAGCACATAGCCAGGGTCATAAAGGCTACAATTTTCAATCATATTACAGTTGGGTGTGGCCTTGTGGTTATATTCCTAGCCAACTGGACATAATCAGTGGTTACTAGTAAATGTTTAACAACTAGTTTTATTTGGAAGGGAGGAAGGTAACGGGAGAAGCCCAGGTTTATAGTGTTTGGGTTTGTAGTGCTTGCCAATCACCCCACTGTGGGCAGGGAACACGGGGCGGGGAAGAGATGTAGCTTCCACGTGAATGTAATGTGATTTCTGGGAAACAGGGGCAAGCCTCCTGGATGGGGCATGCCCTGCCCCCTTCCGCCCCCCTGCTGGCCAGAACGTAGATGTGATAACTGGAAGTCCAGCCGCCAGAGTGCATAAAGGGGAAGCGGTGTGGAGAGAAATTCAGAGTCACAGTGGAGCAGCCTTGGTCCCTGATGCTGGCCCTGGAATTCTCACCTACCAACTTTATTTCCGCAGTAACTGTGAGAAAGAAGAAAACTTCTAACTTGTAACGACCACTGGCCTTTGGAGTGTTCCCGTTCCCAGAGGAACCTACCACAACTGAGGGCATCGTGCATGCGGAACAAGACAACTAAACAGAACTAGGACTATATCTGGTAGGACCATAAAGGATTCAGATTTGAAACAACAAAACGTCTGAACCTTTCTGGAAGGGGCGAAGAGGACAGAGGGAGAATCGCAGCCAAAGGAAGCCGGACCTCACCTCTCCTCCCTCTCTGACCTACAGACCCTCGACAAAGAGTGAGCGATCCCCATGCCCACAAGGCTTTCTCCTCAGACACGAGGGCCAGCTTCCGAGTCCCCGCAGGGCGTGGGGGCGGACTCTCCCACGCAGCGCAGCCCAAACCCTCTGCCTGAGAAAGACTGCTGCAGACCTCTTCCTGCCAGAGCCGTTTCCCGGGATGAGGAGAAATGGTAGACACAGGTCACTCAGGGGACAACCTGAATTGCCTCGGGCAGCAGTGGGCAGGTTAACACATCTGCCCTGCTGGAATACATCTGAAATGTATTGCTCAGGCATAGGCTGGCCTGCTGTGCATCGTGCTGTACAGTGGGTCCAGACTACCACTGAATGACTTACTTAAAATACAGGTAAAATTATTACATATGAACCCCTCCCAAAAGTTAACGCGCAAAGAGCAGATAATAGTGTCACAGGTATATTCTTATTGTGGACGAAAAAGGGGCCCTGCAATAAACCTGACAGGCTCAGGGGGCTACATGGCAGGTCTGACAAGTCCAGTGACCAAAACTAACCATACGGGATGGTCTGACCACAAATTCCTAACAAGGCAGGTCACAACAGGTAGTCATGTCCCAGGCCTACGACTTCCTTAGCAAAGGTCAACCCTCACCTCAAGTGAACTCTGTGCACGGATCTTATGCATCTAGGATAACATATCTTTGGACTGTCCGAGTAATTTTCTTACCCCTCAAGGCACAACCACAGGCACCAGAGCTGAGACCACAGGGCCCCTCCTTGTTATCTTGTTCTGGCACACCATCTGTGTGCTGTGAATGTTCATTATTAACTACCCTGCACCCACCAGTGTAAAGGCATGTGTTTCTCCATTTTGCCACTTATCCAATTCTAGAGATTTCTCTGCTTTGCTTTCTTCTGCCCCCATAACCTACTGCAAATGGATTTCTTGTACTTTCCTTAGATCTCCTTTGATTCTTTTTTTTTAATTGATTTTTTTTTTTTTTTTTTTTTAGAAAGAGGAAGAGGGAGGGAGGCAGAGAAAGGGAGGGAGAGGGAAGGAGGGAGAGAGAAAGATCAACCCGTTGTTCTGCTCTGCGATGCAGTCACTGATCGACTCTTGTATGTGCCCTGCTGGGGAGTAAACCCACACTCTCGACCCATTGGGCTGACTCTCTAAGCAACTGAGCCAGAGCGGATCCCCTTTGACTGATGCATAGACTAAGCTGCAGAAGTGCCCTTCTCCGGACCTGTTGAGACCTTGCTCCCCAGCACATGTTGTCAGCTTGTCTTAAATAAACTCATAAAAATTCTCTACAGGTTTGGACGTTTCTTAACTCAGTCAACGTTATTTAATTTCAAAACACTGTTTCGAAGTCTCTAGGGAGCAGGTGTGCACATGTCAGACAAGGGGCTGAGCAATGCCAAGTGTCTGAGTGCATGGCTGTGCCCCCTCTGTGGGGATCCTACAAGGATGTTCTCCACGCGCTCCACCTGGAGTCTCTGGCTGCATTTGTTCACCCTTGGTCTCTTAACAACTTCAGACTGAAGGACTCTTGTGCAGTCAGCATGATTTTCAATCTCTCCTCACCAGCCATACCCACCTCCCTCCCAATACTAAGAACCTGACATGAGTTGATAGTACAAGGAGGAGGCACTCTCAGTGACAAAGGGGGGAAGGGTAGGGAACAACAAGATCAAGTCAGCAAGAAGAAAGGAAACAGCTTGGCCAGGTGCACAAACAATGAACAACTGTGCCAGAAGCAGTTCTAAAAGCAACTAAAGAAAGCACAGTCTAGTTCTAAAAGAAAAACAACGCAATAAAAAAACTTTCAGTCACATACTCTCAAGTAACCTGAGAGTAGCTCCCATTTACAGGGCCAAGAATCTTGTCAAATATTTGCAGATGCTTGCTGCAAACATTTGAGGTATAACCATTATCACTCTTCAGTCAGAAATCCAGGCACATCTACGTCACATCCTGGCTCTGGCACTGACCAGCTGTAACAAACTCTGTATGTTACCCTTGCCTCAGTTTCTCCAGTTGAAAAATGGAGATCATCAAGCACATTTTGCAGGGTGGTCATAAAAATTAGAGAGAACTGACATAGAGCACAGACAGATGCCGCAGGTCTGCACAAAACCTTCTACAGATGAGAGCTATATAAACTTCAGGGTAGAAAAATATATGTGGTTGATACGCAGTCAAAAACAAACTGAGATAGGTGGATGGCATAGTTTTAAATGATAACAAGTGCATACTGAAATGAACCAACATATATAATATAATCCACACATCAATATTCTGGGCCCACAACAGAGAAAAATGAGATGAACCCAGACAACATCTAGCACTGTTCTTCCCACTCTGTTACATAAGCTCTATCTTCATTTTCACACACCTGTCTCCTAACCCATTTCTGCACCACCTCCCAAACAGTGCCTCTGTTCTCTCGAGCAGAAGGGAAATTCTGCATTGTCCTTTGTAATGGCGGTCAGAGCTGCGCACTGCCCGTCCCGGACCACTGCCCAGACTCTGCAGTGTAACTTAAAACTGTGTGAAATGAGTTTACCTCTGTGAAATGAGTCTACCTGCTAATTCGATTGGCAATTCCATTCCTAGGGGGTGAATTGGACATCAAATTTTTCTAAAAGACAAATGACCATGTGTGGTCAGAAAGTATGTCTCAAAGCAAGCTGTTTGCTTCCCTCAAATATAATTCTGAATAGAAGGAAGAAAGTTGCTTCTGTTCAAATGAAACAGATAGAATTCTTACCAGCAGTTCAGATGTACAGGAAGGCGTGGGGAACAGCCCGTGGAGGGAAACTGAGCTGATTAAGGGGGTGAGAATTAGAAAAGGGGAACGTGGGTTAAAAATGTCCTGACTGCACTAGCATCACCCATCATAAGACTTTCTGCAAACTTATCAGCCAACCAATTACTCAGCTTCTAAAGTAATTGTGTAGTGTGTTTATTTCAAGTGTCCTAGAAATGTTTTCGTTATGTACAAATGCTGTGGAATTTTCCTGAGCGACGGCATGTTACATTGGAGTGCATATGCTGAACCACTTCAGCTAGAACTAATAGTCAAACAGAAGCAAGGAAATGAACTCACTTGTCGAACTCATCAAAGAGGTCACAGCTCTGCAGTTTTGAAAGAGCAAGTCGAAAATATTCCGCTGGAAAACAAATGGAGTGCAGTGAATGAAAGGGATCATGGCTTCTCCGGGACACAATGACCACTTGACCCCTTCCTTTCCCCAAAGCCGTTTTCAACTGGTGTGGCTACGTTTCATTTCTTCTGTGATGAAGGTTCATGATAAAACTGCATTTAGCCAGCACTACTTAATAGGAACACTCAAAATGGTAAATGCTCTAAGGACACATTTCAAAAACCCTAGAAAAATAAGAAGCTAAGTGGGAAAATGATAATTAAAAAGTAACCCCAGCCTGGCTGGTGTGGCTCAGTGGTTGAGCATCACCCATGCACCAAGAGGTCACCAGTTTGATTCCTGGTCAGGGAACATGCTCAGGTTGTGGGCCAAATCCCCGGGGGGGAGGGGAGGGTAGCATGCAGAAGGCAGCCAATTGATGTTCCCTCTCATCCATGTTTCTCTCTCTCCCTCTCCCTTCCTCTCTCTCTAAAATCAATAAAGAAAAAAAAATATCTCAAAATTAGCAATATCAGATGATTCTGAAACCGACATAGTATAGAAATCAATATGCAGCAAGTTTAACCTCTGAAGTACCAAATTCTCTGCAATATATATATTAAAAACAGGAACAAATCTATATATAATATAGTGTGTATATATATGCATATAGATATAGATATAGATATAGATATCGATATAGATATAGATATAGATATAGTATATAGTATTACTGTGGGCTGACACTCTAACCTCTGAGCCAAACTAGCCAGGGCTCTGCAATATATTTTTAAAATACACACACACACACACAATCAGTTAAATAAGCAAAATCTAACTCAGAAAACTGTGGATGTGCCACCCGCTGGGCTTTTAGAGTCTCTCAGAAACTGAGAATGTCATGGTGTAAGTCCAATCAGGTGTCAAGCAGAGAAAAGTGTTTCCTCATTAGTGGACCGAATGAATATTTCTCTCTAAATTTAGCAAAAACAAAATATCCACTTGTTAAATTTAAGAAATTGGTCAAGGAGCTAGAGCTTGCTGATGAAATAAAATAGAACTAATAGGCAGAGGTTTGAAATGGGAGCTCAGGAGGAAGTTAACACAGGGTTAACCTGCTGATTCTAAGTTGGAATACGGTAAGGCATCAGGACTCAGTAACAATATGGTGGCAAAACAAAAGTAAAAAACAGTGTCTTAACAACAACAACAAAATGTTTTTTATTATTTTATTATTTTATTCTATACTACCTCAAAAGGAGTTCTATATTAAAATTGATTCCATTCTTCCCATCCCCAAATCATTCTTTAGGAATCATTATGACGTAGAAAGATTAAAGGGCCTTGAATATACCTAAACATATGCTTCACATCAAACACCACTCGTTTAATAGGTCGGGGCAAAACAATATTACAGACCTGATGTTCTCATCCCATAGGGCAACTCAAACTTGTCACTACCATACAAGGAAGCGAGCTTTTTAAAATCAGCAGCACAAAGGAAAGGGTGAAACTGGTGAGACCTGAAAGAGAAAGACAGAGAACGACTTTCCCAAATGCACATAACGCTTGTAGGCTTTTAAGGTCACAACTGAAAATAACTGTAGCTTATCAGTCACACTGTTACATTGACTACATGAATGTATAATTATTTTTTTATTAATTTTTTTTAGTCCTCACCTGAGGACATTTTTTTTTTTGCATTTTTTGATACTTTGTTCAGATAGAGTGGGAGGGGGAGAGAGAGAGAAACATCGACATGAAAGGGACACATCGAGGGGCTGCCACTCACACGACCCAACCAGGGCCGGGGACAAACGCAACCGAGGTACGTGCCCTTAGCGGGGGAACTGAACCTGGGTCTCTCTGGACTGCAGGCCGACGCTCCAACCGCTGAGCCAAACTGGCCAGGGCTGTATAATTATTTTTTAAATTATTTAAAATCACCTTAAATGGTATTTAAATGTTACATAGAATGGGATACCCAATGGAACCACAGGACCAGAATAAAAACACTTTCCAGGTGGTGGAACCCAAACTGTGTAACTGCTTTTTACTAAGGGGAAGTGGCATGGAGGGAACAGATTTTTAAAACCAACCAACACGTAAAAAATGTTAGCCATATACAGGAAGAAACAAAGGCACTAATGAGGGAAAATAAAGACTGATGCTAAACCACTCTCAAATATAAAGGCACCATATATAGGAAGGGTCAGCTGTGAAAATAAAATATACATTAAAATTAGATGTAGCTAGACATAAACTCCTGATGTCATTAAGTTACTGAAGAACAAGAACCATGGGCATCTGTCTTCTTATTGTCTGTCTGTCCTGAAGGTACCCCCTGCTCAGGTGCTATGTCAGACGTGAGAGAAAGTTCGATGAGGGTCTGGGTGCCTCTGGTTTTTCTCACTTTCAGTGCCTGGCACCGAGCAGGCAGACAGCAGCTTTTTAAGAAATGATTCAATGAATTCCAACTCCAAACTAATCCTATATGCAACCATTATCTAATAGAAAAATAGAAGATATTTTTTTTAATTAAAGAGAAGGAACTGGTAATGCTAATATTAAAATGCTATTTTTACCTACCAAAAGGACTGAATGCTACAGAGCAAATCAGGCTAATCCTTCCCCAATTTCAGACAGCGTCCCGACTTTCCAGACTTATCTCCTTTGTCCTTAGTCTAAAACCTGCAGGTGGAGATCAGAGTGCCCCTAGGGTTCGGAGGCCACATGACAGAATGGAAAGGAGCAGCAGTTGAGTAGGGGTGAACCAGCTTCAGTGTCATCCTGGCTTTGCCACTCGCCAGCCACTAACATTTTTCAGAGCTGAGCCAAAACCTCACATATATTCAGACTAAGGAAACAGGTGAGACACCAGCCCTTCCTGCTTTTGACATGAAGTGTTTCCCAGATTCAGTTGTTGAAGTGATAGCAGCCTCGGAGGTCCAGCCAATCTTGAAAGGTCATATGTATACCAGGACTGATGCCCTAGTTCAGGGTTTGCTCTGAGAGGATGAAGTGTCAAGTCACCTGACTCAAGATTGAGAGGAGACTCAAGATCTTCCCAGCTTGGGAAAGAGAACCACAGAGGACTTTGCACCCCGAGAGCAAGGCAATAAAGGAGTCTGTTCTTTGGAGTTGGTGGAGTGAAGATGATGATGACCAATGATTAATGTCTATTGCTGGTCAAACCTTGTGCTAGATGGCTTACATTTTATTTCTAAATGAAATAATAGTTTAGTGCCATGTCTCACACACAGTAGAGGCTCAGTAAATATCAGCCTTATCCGTAATAATTACACAATACATTGTATATTACATTGTATTATATTACTGTGTATTCTATTCTATTATAATATATCACATTACATTAATTTTTGCTATTGTTACACCTATAAAAGCCTGGAAAGGTAGGTCAAGTCTGTTAATCCATTTAGACAAACTGAAGCTCTGAGAAGTGAAGTAACTATACAGTATTATCTGGGCTCAGGGATCCATATCTGACAAAGCTGGAATCCACACACAAGCTTAACTCTAAGGTGTGAAGCACAACCCAATCGTGGCCGAGGACAAACTGTAACCGAAGTACGTGCCCTTAGCAGGAACCGAACCCGGGTCTCTCAGGACCGCAGGCCGACGCTCTAACCACTGAGCCAAACCGGCCAGGGCTCGACATATATTTTTAAGTGAATAAAACAAACTACAGGGCATCTGGAGAAAGAAGGGTAAAAATTCTTTCTTTTCGTATTATAAATATGCATGTATACTAAGTTACAAAGTAAAACGTATTTCTTATAATAGATCATAGTAAAAAAAGTGTAAGATCTCTGTTCGAGTCTTTCATGGCCCTAATAGACACACCCCCATGGAGAGACTACAAGCAGTAGTGAATTAAATGTATGCAGAAATAGTTCATGTGTCTGCAAGTTTCCAGAGAGTTGGTGGACTTTAAGGTGATCTGTAGCCCCCAAAAGGTAAAGAACCAGTAATGGAAAGGTGAAATAATAAAACAAAATAAAAATAGAAAATGTGATTTTTGATCTGAATGGATAACATGCTAACACACACACACACACACACACACACACACACACACACAGTGTACCTGTTTTATGCAATTAAACATGCCCAGACTAGACTGTCATTTATTCCTCTTTATCTAGAATCGTTTTGCCTAGCCTATTAAAGTTGAGGTAACAGAGGAAAACAAATATTTGTAGATGGAAGAATAAATTCTCTACAAGTCCTGACAAGCATTATTTGCATTTGATAAAGATGGATATATAGTTTAAAGTCAGCAGACATTTCTCACTGTAAAGTTTAACTTCGAGATGAGGGAGCAGCAGCCACAGAATAAGGATGGAAAATAACATGGGCACACAAGGGGGCTAAAGCCCCAAAACGCAGTTCATTGTTTTGTGATCAAACACAAAGAGACCTCTCTACTCTCTCCTGCGCGAAAAGGACACCGGTCTGATTGAGTTCTTCGACGCCTTTTAAAATACATGCAGGGCTCTGACTGGAGAGCCAGGATATTCAACCTGTTGCTCAAACGCAGGCCGTGCACTGCGCAGCGCCAAGGTTTGTGGCGAGCAGCAAACCGGGAGGAAGTGGGGCACGCGTCGGGAACACGCGCGCGTTCCTGCAGGGGTGTACCTCAGCAGAGCGGCGAAGGCTGGTGCGGACGCGCAGGGCTGGATCTTGTTCCGGCGTCTCATTTCCACGGGCGGCACCCTGCAAGACAGAAGTGGCCGTCAGAAAGCAGGGCAGGCAGCCCAAGGGGAGCACCGCTGCCCTGCGGAAGCCACAACCTGGCTGGCTTTCAGAAGTCCCCCAAAGCCCGAGAAACCCAGCTGGGCCCAAGTGCACATGGCCGTCTAGGTCCTCCAGGCCACGTCTGGGGACACCAATGAGCAGCAAACACCAGGGAAACAGCGGCCTGAGCAGGCTGCTCTCAGCGTGTTTTGTGACAGTGACTCCACAAGTCACGCTGCTTGCAGTCAGACCTGACTCCCCTCGGTTGGTGGCAAGGTCAACCTGTGTGTCTCCTGAATGGAGCGTGTGTCCACGTTTGAAGGGGTGTTGGGGAAGGCAGAGCAAAAAGGAACACGTAGTAAGGGTAATCTTTTATGTGAACAACTAATCTAAACAGAAAACTAATCAATTTTCTTCTCTAATGTACAGGATTCAAACTGAAATAACAGTCCAAATGCATCATGAATAGACTCAATTTTCAATTTTGAGGCAATAACAAGTCCTTGTAGTTAGAAGGGTGAGGTTCCTGAACTCTGGGGCTAGTGATATCCTTATGCAGAGAAACCATCTTTTGTGAATACCACAAACGGCAAGAATTCCTCAATTTCTATGTAAGGAAAATACATTAATATGGTAGACCAACACATCAGGTCATAAAAACTATATTTAGAGGACAAAGTGAAGTATATTACTTGATTTCTAAGGCTGTTAGGAAATATAAACCAAACTATTTTAGATTGTGAAGACAAACTTGAAGTGGCTTTAAAAATAGACAACCGTCCTCCTTAGTGTGTGTGTGTGTGTGTGTGTGTGTGTGTGTAAGAAATCTTATCAGGGCATTCATTACACCTTTTTCAGAACAAGTATAATTTATGGAAATTATACAAGGCAACTTTTTATTAAATTATCAATAATTAGCAATGTTTGGTTAGCTGAAATGTTATTTCAATTGTAAAAGCCATCTCTGGTTACGAAAAATAATTTTTAAAAACCTTATTGAATTTCACTTGCTTTTAAAATGCCCTAAAACATCTTAAGGTAAACAATATTTTAAGTAGAAAAACACTAATTTTTAAGTAGTTTCTAAACTATTTCTGTGTTTATGTACATATATTACCTGTTTCTTTTATAGGAAACCTGACTGGAAGGGTCTCTCATTAAGCACTGTGAAATAAAAGCAAGAGCTAATCACCTCTTAACAAAAATATTCTGTAAGCAACAACGACCAGAATCAAAGATATTTTTACTAGTTAATAATTGATACAAAAGATGAAACAGAATACTTTTACTGGATTGTTTTTCAGGGTGCAGCTGCTCTTTGGCACCCAAAATAAAAATTTCCCATAAATAAAAGCCACAAAGCAATTCAAGTGGTGGTTAGTTTAGGTCAATGCTTTTTTCCTCCCTGTTCTTTTCTTCTTCATCGCCCCCACGCCCTCGGTGGCACCCTTTTATTAAAAAGCCTGGGATTTGTGCCTCAGATCAAGACATCATTTGAGTATTTTCAAAAGATGTGTAGCTCTTCATGCAAGAACAATGTCTTGTGGTCACCATTACTTCAAAAAGTTGTTATATTCTGCCCTGGCCGTTTGGCTCAGCTGTTAGAGCGTCGGCCCGTGGACCAGAAAAAGTTATTATATTCAAATAACCTGGCATATCATGCTTTAGCAATAACAGAGCTGTGATTCTGAAACTTGGCAATTTATAGGTTAGGCAAATGGGAAATAGTAAAAACTGTGAACAGCTGCTCTTCTGTTTAAATTTAGAGTGATGCAAACTTCTGGTAATGACTTTTCTCAGGTAACAACCAGCCCCCGATACAGCATGAAGTCACAAAGTACAAATCCAAGGAGGGTAATACCTTCACTAAGATACAAAACTTTGGCAAATCAGTACAGTACTCTTTGAATATAATAAAATCATATGTTTGTTGGAGTGATCTAGTACTTGAGTGATAATTTTCACTCTGAAAATGTCATTTAAGTACCAAATTAAAACACTATGGTTTTTAATGGTGGTTTATAGCAAAGCATGTTATTTTATACAAAGTGAAATAGCTTTTCACACTATACAATTTCTCCTTTTAAAGTGATTTCCCTCTTGAAGTTCTCCGCAGCTGGGCAATTGCATCTAGTGAAAGGTGGCTCTGCTGTGTCCTTGGGTTGGTCCAAAGCCAGGCAGAGTTCCCATGCATGACAAGGTTTAAAATTCTACCTGAAGGAGATTTAATATGCTAACACCAATTTCCAAGTACTTTTCAAAATGTTAAATTTTTACATAATGACTGGAATCCTCAAACCCAGGCAGTCATTTCAAACTACACAAATAATTTCAGATGTTCCCTTTTATTTAGAAACCCTGTACCTCTTTGTTTTGATCAAGTCACATAGCCTTTCTTGTTTATTTTTTTAAAAAATTCTACCTAAAATGTAGTTGAATTTAAAAAATATTTTCTTTATTAATTTTTTAGAGAGAGAGGGAGAGAGAGATAGAAGCATAGATGAGAGAAAACATTGATTGGCCGCCTCCTGCATCCCCCCTACTGGGGATTTGGCCCACAACCTGGGCATGTGCCCTGACCAGGAATCGAACTGGCGACTTCTTGGTACATGGGTCTACGCTCAACCACTGAGCCACACCAGCCAGTTGTATTTTTTAAAGAACAAGTAAGTACAATGCCAGCTAGTAGAGAACCAGGGCCTGGGTGTCGTGTCCGAGTTCCAGCATCTCTCCACAAAGGCTGTTCTTCCATCTCAGCATTGGATTTCTGTATTACCCATTTCATTGCTTCTCCACCACGACTAGCGTCTAAAGATATCGCACCTGCCATCGGCCGTTTGATAACTACTGACTCCTTTCACAGTAATTAGGTCTCTTGAGTCAAAACATTTCTTTCTAGGTCCTGAGGATGCAGTTTGAATAGCAGTCTCCCATCTACTGAAACAATTTTTGCAAATAAAATATGAGTGAGTCTAGGTTCCTTTGTTTTCTCTACAGGATCAACTGCAGAATGTTCTCGTACAAATGTTTTGGTTCCTGCTGCACCAATAAGAGGTTTCACAATGAAAGGTAGTCCCCATTCTGTGCTGGGAAGGCTATGGTTGTGCAACTTTCCAGAAAGATCTATGTGTTTGTCCAATACATCAACTCCAGCCACTCTTAGATTCATAGGGTCTACATATTTCTTCATTGCAGCTGTTGTAACAGTATCCCAAGGTGGGGGAGGGTGTCAAAAACATGTTCCGAGGTCAAGATCTGCACCATGCTGGTGGTCTCCACAGGACCTGGGCAGAGCAGAGGCCACACTGGCCCCTCCCCCACCCCCTAGCCACAGTCTTAATACATAGTTTTTAAGGAAGCAAGTTCACAGCAACACCCATTTGAGGTAATTTCCTGCGGTAATTTCTGTGGCTGGAGTAATGTGTCAGCTCAAGAGTGACATGAACATTCCTCAAATCCTGATGACAAAAGACTGCTGTCTCTTGCCGGGTATCTCAGTTGGTTAGAGTATTGTCCAGATATGCCAAGGTTTTGGGTACAATCACCAGCCAGGACACATATAAGAATCAAACATTGATGCCCTGGCTGGTTTGACTCAGCTGTTAGAGCTTCAGCCCTTGGTATGAAGGGTCATGGGTTTGATTCCTGCTCAAGGGCCTTACCTGAGTTTCAGGTTTGATCCCTGGCCCTGGTTGGGGTCCTCCAGGAGGAAGCCAGTTGATATGTCTCTCACATCAATTTCTCTCTCTCTCTCTCTCTCTCTTTCTCTCTCTCTCTCTCCCTCCCTTCCTTCTACTATATATAAAAATCAATGGAAAAATAGCTAAGATCTAGAAACAGCCTAAGTGCCCATCAGTAGATGAGTAGATTTAAAAAGCTGTGGTACATTTACATAATGGAATACTATGCAGTTGTGAGAGAGAGAGATGTCTTATCCTTTGAGATGACATGGAGGGACCTGGAGAGTATTATGCTAAGCGAAATAAGCTAGTCAGAAAAAGACAAGTATCACGTGATCTCACTTATTTGCGGAGCATAATGAACAAAATAAGCTGTCAATCAAAATAGATCCAGAGACATGGAAGTAGGGAACAGATTGACAAACCTCAGAGAGATGGGGGGTGGGAGGCATGGGAAGAGATAAACCAAAGAACTTATATGTATATATGCACAACCAATCAACAAGGACATTAGACTGGGGATGGCAGGAGGGGTTGGGAGCAGGAAGGGGGTGGTCAATGGGGAAAAAAGGGGGACATCCACAATACTTTCAACAATAAAAATAAAAAATAAATAAATTCAACTTCTAAAAAAATATATAAAGTAAAAAATAAAAATCAATGGAAAAGTATCCTTGGGAGAGGATTAACAAGAAAAAAAAAAAGAATCAACCAATGAATGCATAAATAAGTGGAACAACAAATCGATGTCTCTCTCTCTTTCAAATCAATAAAAACTCATTAAAAAAAAAAAAAAAAAGACTGCTGCCCTGGCCGGTTTGGCTCAGCGGTTAGAGCGTCGACCTGCGGTCCTGAGAGACCCGGGTTCAGTTCCCGCTAAGGGTGCGTACCTCGGTTGCAGTTTGTCCCCGGCCCTGGTCGGTTATGCGGGTGGCAGCCACTCGATGTGTTCCTTTCACATCGATGTTTCTCTCTCTCTCTGTTCCTCTCTCTCCCTCCCACTCTACCTGAACAAAAAAATGGGAAAATGTCCTCGGGTGAGGATAAAAAAAAAAAAAAGACTATGCTGAATTCAAATCCTCTTCATTATCTCACCATTTCTCCTATGGCCAACAATGGATTTATAGGAAGTAGCATCTAGTAAACTTCTCTTTTGTTCTTACCTTTCATTACTAAGCATGGAGCAGAGATAGGATGTGGCAGAGATGGAGGGAGATTCCTGTGGTATAATTTTTATGGAGTATATAATCAAACTAAGTTCTTTAGATCAATATTTAAGTCCAAAGGCCTAAAACCTACGGCTAAACCCACCCACCCGACATTGGGTCTTGTCCAGTGATTGCCTAACTTCCTTCCATGAGGAGCATTACAATTATTTTTCAATCCATCAGTGATGACATTAAATACAGAAGTACCAATTTATATTTTTATCTAGTAAGCACATGCTAGAAACATGATCTAGGATCTATTAATAAAACACTGACAAAAAAGAGCTAACTTATGTTTAAGACGGGAAGTTGTCGCGTGATTTATTCTGATATAATCATATGCTACCACCCATTCAGGATTTACAGGTCATCAACACTTTATTCCTAGACGAAGGACTGACCATGGGAAAAAGGGTAAAAATCTTACTAGAAAAGTTCTTTCTGCGATAAAACTACCTTTATCTCTTCAAAGTTTTATATGTGATATTTCAAGTCAAAGTTGTTCCAAAATATACATATATCATCATTCACCAAATACTTAAAAAATACTTTTTTCTTTATTGATTTGAGAGAGAGAGGAAGGGAGAGCGAGAGAGAGAGAGAAACACCGATGAGAGAGAACACCGACTGGTCGCCTCCTGCATGCCTCCACTGAGGATTTGGTCCACAACCATGGCATGTGCCCTGACTAGGAATCAAACTGGTGACCTCTTGGTGCATGGGTCAATGCTCAACCACTGAGCCACACTGGCTGGGCTCAACAAATACTTTTAAACAAAAGAAGCCATATGTTAGTATCTACATTTTATCAAACAATCTCTTTTCCAAGCATTTTAGGTTCTAAAAGTCAGTTATCACTAAGTCCAAGAATCACTCCATCAATTCAAGGACATGAAATATTATATAAAAAATATATCCCAAACATGGTCAACACCACAGCTTCACCAGAAAGTCAATAAAAAGGTGTTGCATATCAATTTTTAAACTGTTAGAGAGAAAAGGTACAGGGTATTAAAATGGTAAACTCCAGTTTATAATGGAAAGCTAGAAAAGTTTCAAGATAATACAGGGGATTTTAATAGGTCCCTCGAATATCAGCTGTGTGTCTGTGTGAAAGATGAGTTTGGAAGTTATTTTTAAACAGCAAAAATAAAACTTACCAGTAGACATTTGTTCCCCATAATATGCAATGCAGCACATAATATAGGAAGACAGCACTCAGGAATATGGCCACGAGGTAGCCTCTCATGGCTGGCCCACCTGAAACACAAGGGATGGAGGCCAAAGAAAGGCGAGACTGTTACACACACAAGCATTTACCCAGCGGCTCAAACTCAAGTGCTTGTGAATAAACACATAGAAAGGGAGCAGCAGAAGGAAGTGATGTAGGCCTATTATTTTCAAAATACCCAGTACATGTGCAGAAAGAGAATTTTTTTCTATGTCTCCTTCCTCCTCTTTCATCAACACTACGTAATGCGTGTGTAGATCAAAAAACAGTTCCGTTGTTTCAAAGCTAATGGCTTCCCTACTACTTGCTTGTATTAGGTAAGAAAACAATTCATTCAGAACAAAATTTTACACATACACTCCATACTGCAAACTTTCTTCAGAGACATTAAAGCATATCTATTTTCTTTTAACAGAAAGTGAATATATGCCTTAAGATATAAACAAACATTTCACTTCTTCAGTGTTTAAAATGACTTTTAACTGTTACACATTACAATTTTTACAAGTTCTTTTTCAATAGTATAAAAAAAACAGAAAAAAGCTATTAAAAATATTTCACACAGCCTGGATTTTAATACACCTTTGGATGCACCTATTTGATTGTTCAATCTCATAGCACAGGTAAGTTCAGCTTGCTTTGTATCAAACGACAGTATAGTTCATCGCATATATGCAGACCAAAAAAACCTTGACACAATCCTTTCTAAAATATAAATGCAAAAAAACAAAACCTTTAGAGAATATGTATTTTTTTAAACCTAAAACATGTTAATTTAGTTCCCACTTTTACTTCAAAGACAGAAATGAGTATGTTCTCATTTCCACATGCAATCAAATGCAAAAGACAAATGTATCACATATGGTTCCACAGCAGATCTTCTATCTCAACGCCTGTGACTTTAAACCGGTGTACTATTCCTTCACATCTCTTATCGAGCTGGCTCATCTTTGCAGGTATCACTCCTCTCACTCCTACCCATATCTACTGACCTCAATCAGGGCAGCACAGGGTGGAATGTGCAAGTCTGGTTCCAAACTATGCCGCTGCCTCCCTTTTAATGATCAAATAATTGTCAGTGCAAATCTTAACATAAAGAACTCCTCTGCCGTCATAAATAAAATACACTGAACATAGTTTAAACATTCCTTGATAATGAAAGCCACCTTGACAAATGTCCTAATTATGCTGGGCTCTGTCGAAGTTGAGACCCCCTGGAAGGGCTGAGGGTGTGGGGCGGACTGCTGGCCTGCAGTGGGTATCCAGCCAAGTTGCTAATCTTGCCTCCCTGCTGCAGCTGGCGCACCCACTGCTACTAAGACAGCTACCACCCCACATGCCACTATTATAAACTAGTGAGAAATGACAGCTGTGTCAGGAGGAAGGCAATAAATGAAACGAGCAAGCTTTCATTTACACATACTTCTAATTGAGTATACATAGTCCCTATGAAGAGTCAACACTGGTTGGGAATCAGCAAACAGGGTTCATGGCCCAACTCCACAGAATTCCAGGCTTGGGGACTTTAGGCAAATCAGTTTACCTCTTCATACGTTTACCAGTGAGAGCCCTTAACCTACATGTTTGGGCTATCAGATGGGTTAACAAAAATGACAGGCATCTGGCACAATGCAGGACACAAAAATATGTGCTGAATATGTTTGTGTATGTTATTGTTGCTTGTTTTTTAAGCGACAAGTGTGGAGGAGAGACTGTTCCGTAACATGACCGCTGCTGGACCCACAAGGTGAACCCGGGACAGAAGGGGAGGATTACTTACTGAGAACCCCACTTAGAGACTAATGGGGACTGATGTTCTTTCTGACATAAATTAGCATCCCTTCCCCTGCCTCCCACTACATCCTGTTGCCTGGAACAGGCTGTTGTCCTGACCTGGTCAAACACGTAATTTTTCATACCTGGTAGTGTTCACCCCCTGGCACCGTGACTACCTCTCACCCCCAACCTGCCAAGTGGATGCAGAAATCGATTTTGTCTTGCAGCTGCCCCAGACTTGTGTCCTATGTAAGTTTCCCTGAATAAAACTCTGTTAATTACCAGACAGGAGTGCCAGCCTATTTCTCCGGTCTTTTCCTGCCCTCCACTTGCAGACATAGATTGTCATTCTCGGGTCCTTTTCCTTGGGTCTGTGGTTTAACCACTGGCGAGCCAGGCAGCAGACTAAAGACATGGGCTTTGGGGGAAAACGGCACCTTTGGGGGAAATCCTAGGATTTCTATATCTAGGTGGGGAGGGGTGGCCTCTGTACTAGATACATGTGGACTGCTACATGTGAGTACAGGAATGACCCCAAAACACCAGCTGCGGTCGGTCATGCACTTGTTTGAGGAACTACACTGTGTCAGGCAGGAAATCTATGGCCACAGCCATGGGCTGGTCCCTCTTATGGGCAGTTTAGCTGGCCACTGACAACCAGCTAGAGGCAGAAGCCAGGGTTAGAAAGGCAGAGGAGGAACTGAAACTAGAAAAAGATGCCCGAATGTCTACACTCTGGTAGCATCGGCTGGCTGATCGAGGTGAAGGAGGAAAGGTCCCATGACCAGAGCACACTTCTTTTATGGAAGCGATGAAGCCTCTGTGTGCATCCGTGTGCACGTCTGTGTGTGTTCACATACATATATCTGTGTGGTGCTTTTTTATCTTCAGATGGTACCGATGACTGGTAAAAAGAGCTACGTTTAATTGGCTTAAAGGAATTAAGCACTTATATAAATTAAGGGTTGGGTGTTCTAAAATTTTCAGAAATATAGAAACCAATCCAAATGCTTCTCAGGATCAAGTGATTTGGGAAAATATCTGATATTAAAACTAGTTAAAGCTTGTTGGTTTAACTGAAACAGACACGTGTTCACCTTTATTTTACTTGGGCTTATACATTTATCAGCAAAAATAATAACTTAGAATGAAGGCTGATTTTGTCTGAAGTCTCATGAAGTTTTGTGGGTAACCTAAATATGATTGTTGAGAACCAATAAATTAAATAGTGTTGTATAAGATTTGTGTCATCACGAAGTACTAGCCTAACCTATCCAAAAAATGTGAAAGAGGAACAGGACTGTGTGGAAATTCTGGGGTACTGGAAACAGTTATGCCCCGTCTAACACAATGCCTTCAACCATTATATTGTCTAATTAAGTAGGGACATAAGTGGGACTGGGGAGCCAAACAACAGACTGCCTTTGAGAAGGCACAAGAGCTGGTCAAACAGATTCAAGTCCTTGGAATGTCCCAGGTGGGGCTGCCATCTGAGTCAGATGTTTCAGTAACCCTGAAAGCCACGGGCTGGGCGTTCTGGCCAAAACAGCCAAAGGAAACAGTGTCCCTTGGATTTTGGTCCAATTATAGAAGGATACACCCCAATAGAACAGCAATTATTGTCAATGAATACTGTGCTCTTTCTTACCCAAGAGCAGCCAGTTACAGTTAGAACTTCCCTTCCCATCAAGGAGTGAAGGACGTGTTTCGTCGACCTTCGTCTCCCGCGGCTCAGACTTCTGCCCTCACCGAACGGCATGCTGATTTATGACAGAGGAGCACTCTGACCAACAGTCCTGATCTTTAGGCTGGCGACTGAGGCACCCAATAAGGTAAAGGTGTGGAAGACAAAGGACACAGCAATAGACCCGATGCTTCCATGGACCAACAAACTATGATAAAGAGAACACCAGGCCCTAGGGTCCCTGGACCACAGACCATTTCTGCAACGGGGTGTTCCCCCCCTGGATGAGTCAGTTCTTTCTCATCCCTGGGTGGGGAGGAACAGCTCAGTCTCTGGTGGGATCCTGTTATCCTAATGCAATGAGAACCCGTGGAAACACTATTGAAAAAGAGGAGAAGGTAGGGATCCTGGTCTGGCATATTCCTCCTTGTATTCACCTCCTCACGCCAGGAAGCACCACCTCCCCTGGCCAACATGTATGGTTCACACAGCCTGGCCAGCTTCCAAAGGCCATGGCCACATTAACATCTAAAAATCAGGCTACAATTCTCATAGAAGGAGATCTCCCAATTCAAGTCCCTATTGAATATTTTTCTTTCTGATCTTAGAGTTTCACTGTTTCAGTGGCATCCAGTTTGTCTTGCAACAGCCTAAGACATGTGGCATATGTAAGTTTCCCATAATAAACTCTATCAATTACCAGACTGGAGCGGCCAACCTGGTTCTTTTGGTATTTCCCTGCCCTCCTTTACGGAGGTAGATTTTATGTCTGGGGATTTTCCTGCGTCTGCGTGCAGGAACATGAAGTCAGCTGTTCTCTTTTGCAATATGGTTACATGCATGGGTTTCGAGAAAGCCAGATTGAGACTTGGCCCATCCTTCATGCAGCCTGTGCTGTCTTCTCACTGGCCTGACAGGAACATGCAATGGGGTGTCGCTTTGGCAGAAAGCTCAACATTCACTGAGGACAACGGGCGCGAAGCATGTATAAGGTGCGCCCGGGCCCGCGGCTCCCACCCCTCGGGCCCGTGCCTCCCTTTCCACTTTGTGTTCCTCACCCACTGAATGTATGCTATCTAAATGTATTATGGGGTATTTTTATTTTTTTATTCCTCACCCGAGGATATTTTTCCACCTATTATCAGATAGAGTGGAAGGGAGGGAGGGAGAGAGAGACAGAGAGAAACATCAACGTGATAGCGCCACATCGACTGGCTGCCTCCCGCACGACCCCAGCAGGGCGGGGGACAAACCGCAACCGAGATACATGCCCTTGACTGGAATCGAACCCACAACTCATTGGTCTGTGGGCCGATGCTCTAACCACTGAGCAAAACCAGCCAGGGCTTGTGGGGTATTTTTAAAACCACCTTAAATGTATTTGGGTAAAAAGCAAGAAATAAATTGCATAATAATGAGTGGGTCTGTGTTTCTTGAGAAATCAATCATTGGCAAAATCCACAAGATGGAGAGAATTCAGGTTTGGGATTATCAGTCAAAGTTCAAGACAGTGAGGTGTTTGGGATGTCAGACGCATCGCTGGAGTGGCTAACTGATGACTCAGCCAGA